TGGACTTCAACTGAATCTGAACAAATGAAAAGTAATACAGAATTTTTCATGATTACTAAAGACTCGAACTCGATCCGAACCACAGAGGACATTACACTTGGGTTGAACCATATTGAATGGAGCTTGGACAAGACTCAAGAAAACTTGACATTGAACAATCAACAATATAGTGAACTCAAACTTAAAAATAATGACAAGAACTTGAACTTGATATGAATGTCAAGTGAAAAAAACTTGGACACTTGAACTCAAGCAAAGATTTGAGTTGGACTACAGAGAACTTGAACTCAACAAAATCACAAGGAGTCTTGACTTGAACTTGAACAACACAAAGGACTCGATTTTGACTCCAGTGAACTTGCATATTGAACTCGAACTGAATTCAAATAATTTGATATCTGAGTTTGAACCTAAATCATAAGAAAGGAATTATACTTAAATGTCCAAATTAAAGTGATAACTTTTGCGAGTTAAATACAAATAAAAATGGAGCTTATGGTGAATAAGAAGCTTCTAAACATACATAAAACTTGTAGCAGACAAGACTTCAAGCAAATACAACTCAAAGTGAATGCAGGGACTTGTCATGTAAGAATTTGTTTGATTAAACAGATTTGCATAGCGAGTGAACATGAAGGAATGTGATGGCGTCCCTATCACCAACAACAATTCAATTCTAAGAAGATACAACAACGAAAGAGATTAAATACAGAAAAACAAGTAAGGATTTATGTATAGCATTCATAAGCAATAACAAGTGGATTCATGCATAAGTGAATACATCAATCAGCATACAAATGAAGACAGGGAATATACTGCAAATATGATGAACCCCTTGCACATACTCATGCAACGTGCTACTTGCAAGGAAAAGGTGATTGATCAGTGACAACTGCAAGCACTTACGAATGATCGTAGGATACTTGTCATATGAGTAGCTTGCTACCTACAAACAAATACGGGGAGAATTGTAGTAAACACAACTCACATACATTCAAGTCCGCAAGCAATGAAAATTGCAGCGTCCTCATAACAAATATCAAAATGCTGCAGCCCCTTGCAAGGCCGCCAATGGATTTCACAGTGAATGCAAATACCCGCTACCGGCAGCAAAAGGTTCTTGATAAAGATTCCTTATATGCTTAATAACATGTTTGCGGGTGGTGATTTGTACTAGGCATAGAATGTTGTAATGCTCCTATAGTAAACGACCACCCAATGGAGATAAATATATAGATCCTCAGCAAGCAAAGGCAGGTGAAATGCAACAAATGCGAGCAACTATGAGCTACTGACTACATCAAATGCAAGCTCCCACGATCCGCTAAAGGAGTCCCGTTATACATTCAACTTACTATCCACAAGCAAATGCTGAAGAGACTACGACGAAATGAACTTCTACGAGCCATCATAAAAGACCCGCCAAATGTTCAAAATGCCCCCGCATATGCACTGTAGTTTGTATACACATAGGTACACAAGGGGTAGGTGCAATCACAAAACCCACATGGGCCCCAGCGAGCGTGTTTTGGGAATACACGTAACGTCTAGGGATGCTGTGCGGGTCAATAAATTTGTACCCGATCCTCCTAATCAAGTAAATAGGAGTCAACAAAGTTCAACAAATAATTATAAAATGTCTCCAAATATCCGCATGGGCCCTGGCGAGCGTGTTTTGCATACACATGTGACGTCTAATGATGCTGCGCAGCTCAATAAATGAACCCAAGTTCGAGCCCGATCCTTCTACATTGATAGATAGGAGTTGACATAGTTCAAACCATCAAATAATATACGGCCGTGGTATCGACCCAGATATTTGTTTTAATACGTTTATATAAGGCCTTCAGGGCCTATTAACAGATAAATTCATTAATAAAATATACAGCCTACAAAACCTGATCCTCTGTCAACAACTCGACAGAGTCGCCAATGTTCAATCAACAAAAGGAAATGACCCCAAACACTCCAATAATGGCTATGTTGAATGCAGATCTCAACCGGAGGGGTTAATTACAAATGTCCAAAATGCCACCCAAACTCCCAGAAATTTCCAAAACCTTAAAAATCCATATATTTAAAATGGAAATCCGATCATTAACCACTTAAACTAAAATCCATTCACCCTTCGCAACAGTTTGTCGGGGTGGACAATTTAAAATTTACTTCAACTCACATAAAGCTAATACCTAGTCGAAAATATCACTAAAATCCTATTCTCAAATAATCTCCTGCTAGTAAGGACGTGGTACATGTCCTCTAATCGGCGATTTTTCTGCCAAATGGCACCGCAGTATAAACGGTTATGACCCAGGGCCCTCTGAACCGAGTGGTTTTGTAGCCAAATGGCACCACGAGATAACGGTTATGGCCATAATCAATGTATTCCTTAATGGCATCAAATCCTTCAGATATAAATCAATATGATATAATCGATAAGACACAAAGCTCTCTGTTAGCTAAGGTGGATTCAAATTTGTCCCCTTAGACAAACATTCACCCCAGATCTACAAGGTAGCCTTGGACGACGCAACCCATGGCTGCCGACAAGGATCCTTCTGTCAGGTAGGGTCGACTACCTCCTCTGACTAAGTAGACCAGGGACCACGATGGCCCGGGACAACGAAACCATTGGATTTTGATCGGGTCCATCATCTATTCCCCCACCATTCGCTTTAAGTGCAAGGTGACGAAATTTCTATTTTAAATATTCAATCTTCAAATTTTCCAACATCCCAAATACATGTTTGCTACTATACACCTGATACTACGTATCTATGGATACGACGTAGTTGTTCGATGACTAGCCTTAATCGAAAGTTCTCTCTTGTTATCAGGAGGGGTAATTAACTATAGAGGATTGCGCCTATAAGAAACAAGAACTCAGATCATAAAGTCCTCACAAAATGAGGATGAAATCTCTGGATAGTGTCTTATCTACAAACTCATCTTCCTTCCAAAATTTACCTCGGAGTTTAAATCCGTTAAAACTCCCCTGAAAAGAGGGTAGAGACCGAGGCCGAATTTTCGGAGCCCACATAACCAAAAACAAAATTGATACGGGATTGGCTATTCAACATGAAAAAATTTGAAGATATGTCCCGAAGTTGCATCATAAGATTGCTCAATTGTTCAACAAGTTCAGCATGCATAATTTTACTCAATTTCATTGGCAGGGGTAGATTCAAATCCTAAATGAGATTTAAATTTAGTTTTGGATATAATCTCAAACTCAAATTTCAAATACAAGGTTTAACTTTTATAAACATGCCTTGATGAGATTTTAGTGCACATTCCAGAATAGATGTTGGTGCAAAAGCAGATAAATGATCATTCTATAATTGCAATTTTTTGCATCTAATAAAAAAGGAAAAGAATATCCAACAACTCCACTTTCTTCATTAAGATCAAATTCGAACATGAATGATACTCGTGCTGGTGTGTTTAGCAGATTTTAGGTGAAAAATGTTAAATATTTTCCTACAGAAATATTGATCAAAGAGTCAATTGTTCTAAGAAGAGAACGGATGCAGTATTTCTCTAACTCTAAAGCACTACAGTAAGAGAATTGTAAGTAAATTCATGCTTAATTTTTTACCCAAAACATTTAATGAAAGACATTAATATCATGCAAAAAATAGATATGAATAACATAATAATCTCTAAGCAAATTTTTTTGGCTATAAAAGCTTCAAACCTAAAAAATATTAAAACGCACTATAAGTACCATGTTTTAAATCTTAAATTAATCGTGCATTTGATCTTTATACTTCAAGAATGACAATGTTGTCATCTAAGCTTATATTCATTTCATTACAAGTTTTGTTTATTTGAAATTTTCTCCAAAATAATTGAGTAGGTCCCATTAATTTTTTTTAACAAATTCTACTATCTAAAAATCAGAAATATTATACCTTTCAAATATTTTTTCAAGATCATCTAACTTTTCTGAAGATACCATAGAATTGTGCCTCCAATCAAATGTATGAGTGATACTTTTAACTCCCTAAAAAAAGGATTTTATTTAAATTACATCTTTTTGTTATTTTGTTAATTCAGCTCAATATTATGCACTGTCAGTAGATATTGTGATAAAACCTTAAGGTTTTATACTAAATTCCATGTAGAACATCTTAAGGGACTAAGTTTTCTTAAGCAAATCTAACAAATGATATAAAAATCATGTAACAAACACCTAAAATTTACAGAGCAAAAAATATTAATCCAAATCAAGTCATGACAACGTTGAAGAAAATTGAAAACGTCATGGAAATCAATCCATATGAAAAGACTAATGATCTTCTACTAGAAACTAACTGATGTGAAACAAAATGCGATGGAGGAATTACTTTAAGAAATTAAAGAGATCGATTGAAACTTAATAACCCAAAATAAAATTATCGTTTATAATAAAAGAGTGATCCTTAGAACTCTTAGTTTTCTGACGATGTCCTCATCACTAACAAGAAAATTAAGAATCATGAAAATCAGCACAATCGATTCAACGTCATGTAATCAACAAAAATTCAGATGGTAAGGAACCCAACTACACAAAATCAAACTTTCAATCAATAATAAAAGAAAACATTGAAGAAGAAGAAAATGAAGGCAGCAAAAAAAAAAGAAATAAAAAAACAAGCCTCCTGCCAGAATAAGCAGATAAAATCTTAAAATTTTTCATGTTTCAGATTGATCAATGATTAAAATGCTCGTATAGTAGGAGAAAAAAGTTTTATCATCGACGAAAATAATTGAATTTATACCATAAACTGTTACATGACTCAGAATTCTCATATTTATAGACAGAGAAATAACAAATTATTAATAGACTGCTAACAAACAATTAACGATTACAAATAAACTGTTCAAAAACTAGTAATGAATTAAATGAAAGCCCAGAATAATCTTAACAAATAATAAAATCTAAAAGATATAAAATAATGCAAATATCCATTAAAATAAAATTCAATAATTATGTCCACATTAATTAATCTGCATACCTCTACAGTCTTGGAATAGCCAGATTGTTGCTGTCTCACATTCTCTTCTAGATCTTCCAATCTCTTGCTATAATCCTGTACTAAATCCTCGCTTTTCCCGAACAATCCAAAGAAACAATTACGTTCAGAGCTAGCTGGATTATGGGGTCTTGACCTTAGCCGGGTTAGTCTTTTGTATATGTTCTCAGCATCTCTCTGAAGAATAAACGATCAAAACAATATTTAAATCTACTAAACTTGCCAAATATAGAATTGCCAAAAAAATGAATTAAGCTAGCAAAAACGCATATTTAAGGCACCAAATCAAAGACGGAGGAGGAGAATATTACAAATTATACTTTCAAAGCCTAAAAGCAAAAGAAGCAAGCTCCTAACTCCAATTATAATCTCTACAAAGTTAACGGGACTGTTGCTTCCCGCATTTCAAATTTTTTTGAAGTGACATAAATTTGGGAGAATATTATAACGCAAATATGTGAAAGCAGGAAATTCCAAAATGGATTGTTATAGATATCAAGCATAATTAATGCATTTATATTTTGGTTTATTTTATTTTGATATAATTTGAACAATATTAGTTGTGTTTTATATTTTTTTTTTAAGCTAATCAATGATGGAGAACATCCAATGATCATGGTAGGATGTGCTTGGGCATGGCAAGGCTTGGGTTTGCTAGCATTTGGGTCCTTTTGTCCTTGGGCTGCTTGCTGTTTCTCGGTTTGGGCCTTGGCTGCTCTCGGGTTAGGCTTTGGCTGCTTGGTTTTAAGCTAAAAAAAATTGGGTTCTACTTGGTGCTAGCTCATTAATGCTTGAGCTGAAGTTTAGCTCATTATTTAGTGGTATAAATTATAATTACACTTCCTAGCTCATAAATTCATTAAGGTATGCGGAATTGAGCTTGTTTCTTCATATTCTTGTGTCTCCTTGGTTTCTTCCTTGTGAATAATTATTGTGGGCTGGTTGTCTTTTCGGTTTTCTCCCTGGCTGCTTTCCCGTGATTCCCTCTATCCCGTTTTCGGTGTTGGCTCCACGGGTCCCTCCTTGGCTATGTTCCCGTAGTTCTCTGGTTGTGTCCCGTGGCTTCTCCAACCAGTTTTCTGTTTTGTTTTTTGGGAGCAGTTTTGTGGTGTTTTTTTGCCCTTCTTCTTCCCCTTACCTGATTGGTTTGGTTGGAGGTTGATGTTGGCTGTTTGGCTCCCCTTTTTGCCTATATATATGAGAGGATTTTATTATGAAAAGGTTGTTGATGAACTTGAAAGAAGTTGCTAAAAACCTAAGGGTTTCTTCTCTTAGAAAAGCTTGAGAGCTTGTTCCACCCCCTTTCCTCCTCTCTATTTCATCTTGGCTTCTAATCTCTTCTTCTCTACGCAAGTTCCACTCGACATGTATCCTTCTTCTTGAGCATTTGGAAGTTGTTTGTTGGCTGATTTTTGGAGACATTTGCCGGAGGAGTTTGGTAGGACGTTGGACCCATTTGCTGTGGTGGACCCTCGATTTGCAAGCCTAAGCACTATTTTTTATATATTTTCCTACTCTCGTTGTATGTGAAGAAACCGCTTGACGGTTGTTCTAAGGATAGCATTTTTATGTTATAATTTTGTTTCGTTTGATTTGACTTTTCATTTATCTGGATGTTTGCAAGTTAAAATGAATCGAGTTTGGTTTTATTGTCCTTGTGTTCTCCAACTTGGCTTTTCTTTCTAGTTTGCTTACATCAATAATCCACACTGTAAAAGGTTTTCTCTAACAGTCACTTCTCAAATCCTTAGACAAGACTCATAACCTCTTTGTCAAATTACACATCATGAGCCCATGGACAAAAAAAAGGCATTACGAACTAAGCAACAAATAAAAGGTTCAAGGGTGTTTCACGAACATTTATATTACATTCGTCTGTAAGGTGTGTATATATTTACTAAGAGAGAGATATAGAGAGAGAGAGAGTTAGACTATGGCCAATCCGCAGGAAAATTTTCTTTCTACCAATTTTCTTTTTCAAAAAAATTAAATTGTAAAGGCTCCAAAACATTGAAATTTATTTGACTAACACGCACAATTGTTTACATGGAATTATGGTAATTTATCTCAGTGTAAGGTTCAAAATGAATATAGAAAGAAGGGAAAGAGGGAGAGATACTTGCACCATCTCGTTCACTAGAATATTGCTAACACATTGATTGAATGGATAAACTCAACCAGAAGAGAAAAATAAAAGAAATAATAAAATAGTGATGTGTATAAAATCAAATATATACAATAACTCCCAATGATGTTGATGACACTAAATGATGATAAAAATTTTAAAATATGACACTAAATGATGATAAAAATTTTAAAATATATACACACAAAATAAGGTGATAGTATAAATTACTCCACACACATTTATGTGTTTGCTCCATCTGTGGCCATCATAAAATTTGAAAGGTGTCTACTGGGGTTCAAGAATGAGAATGCATAGAAAAGTATCACGCATGGGCAACTCTACAAGGAATGAGAGAAGAATAACAACACAAAAATACTCAAAGCTTTAAAGTGGTTCAACAAGCGGCCTAAATCAACTAGGGTTCAAGATGAAAAGATTTATTGCATTCCCAAGGTGACAATCATTGAGGACGAACAACTCAGGTTCCCAATAAGAGGATTGAAAAAGAAAATAATTCAACAAGAAAATATCACAATTAATAAAATTACAGCTGAGGAAAATGATAGTAAACTTTGGGATTATTGTTGAGATGAGTTTGGCCCTTGATGTCGGATCAGCTTGTGCAACTTTTAATGCAATTGCCTTTCAAAAAATCTATTCATCAACCGCTTTAAATGAGCTAAGAACAAGTATTTACAAGAGTTGAGTGCCTTCAACGTTGAACTAGTTATGATGATGAGTTGAGGGCTCAAGGCCATGTTGCTAACAATCCTTAGTGGTATTTAATGTCAATGATGCGACCAACATGTTAGTGAATGTGAAAGATTATAGGAAACTAATATATCCCAATCAATCAAGGAACTGAAAAGTACATACTAGCTTATGTGGCAACCAACCTCTATCTGATTGACATACCTCAATGTATGTGTTAGACCGGCTCAGCCAGTCCACGAGACTGGCTTATGGACGAAACAGGCAGAAGTTTCGCCTCCTGTACGCATGATGTGATCGCCCCAGCATGAGAGAGCTATTTAAGAAAGATTTTTAGGCAATTAGGAGGGAAATTTGAATGAAGGGACTATTTAGAGATTTCCTTTTTTATTGTACGCATTCAATAGTTTGTTTTCCTAGAGTTATGGCATCTTGAATTTGGCTAAATTTTGAGATCTCTCGAATAGAGGATCAATTGTATCTTGTTATTTTTCTTCTGTTAGTTTGTGTTCTTGCAATAAAATTACATTTTTCTGATTTTACCGTTGGATATGTGGATCGTTCTCGCTAATTTCATCATGATCGTTAGGTTTTACTTGGGAATTTCAAGTATTTCCTAACAAATTGGTATCAGAGTTGTTCGATCCGAGCACCAAGGCTGAAAGAAAAATAGAAGTATTGGAAGGGGAGATCGGGCAATTGAAATCATATTGTACATCATATTGAAAAGATTTCTCAAAAAACTATTTTCAGCAATCCATGAGTAGATCGATGAGAAGTTTGACATCATGGAGAAGATAATAAAAAAGTTGCTCGAGTTCCAAACCAAAGCGGTATTGCCAGAGGAAAGAGGAACCACCAATGACCAAGGGAATGGAGGAAACCCTAATTCGATAAGGAGAGGGAAAGATCAGGAGGTGGAAATGTTGGGGAAAGAAGAGGGGATGCCACTTTTAGAGCCACTTCCAAGGAGAGGAAATGGTGAAGGAGTGGAACTTTTAGTGGAGCTGCAGAATTTGGAAGGAGAAAAAGATTGGGAGAAGATAGAAGCACCAGACATGATTTTACCACCCCTACAACAATATCGATGGGTGTTCTAGCAAGTTCAAGGGTTGAATCCTTCGCATGAGCGCAAGTATGTTATCATCTTGAAGAAAGGAGTCCCACCTATCAGTGTTCGTCTATACCGTCTTCCCCAAATCCAGAACGAAGAGATTGAGAGATTAATCAAGGAGATGCTCGAGGCAGGGATTATTCGACCAATTATCAGTCCATTTTTCAATCCAGTGGTATTAGTTAAGTGCTTCAATAGCAGTTTTGTTCGTTCCACCTTGAGGACAAGGTGGTACTTTGAGAGAGGAGTATTGTTAGACCGGTCTAGACGGGACTGGCTTATGGACGAAACAGGTGGAAGTTCCGCCTCATGTACGCATGATCCGATCGCGGCGACATGAGAGAGCTATTTAGGAGAGATTTTTTAGGGAATTAGGAGGGAAATTTGAATGTAAGGACTGTTTTGAGATTTCCTTTTTGATTGTATGCATTAAATAGTTTATTTTCCTAGGGTTATGGCATATTGAATTTGGCTGAAATTTGAGATCTCTTAGATTTTTTTGGGTTCCAGCGGCGTCTAGAAATTTGGCAGAGATAGATCCTCCTTTGGAATAGAGGATCAATTGTATCTTATTATTTTTCTTTCGTTAGTTTGTGTTTTTGCAATAAAATTACTGTTTTTCAGATTTTTCCGTTGGATTTGTGGATCATTCTTGCTGATTTCATCAAGATCATTAGGTTTTAATTAGTAGTTCCAAGTATTTCCTAACAGTATGGTAGTGTCTTGAAGGTTGTAATCTCACAAAAAAGTGCCTTTAATGTGGCGTGTCATGGCTACCACGAGCCATAATAAATCACATGAGCAACGGTGTCATAACATGTCTGAAATATTGATGCAGAGAGCAGCTGAGATGCATCTGAAGGGAGTGCGTGATCCTGAGTTTAGTGTAAAGAGGAAAGGAGGCCTTCCTGAGAAAACTTAGACTTCCTAAGAGATATTGTATCAAGGACATTCCTGAAAATGTATTTTGCTAATAAGAATTGTTACGTGGAGCAATAGTGAATTTTATCATAATTAGGGTAGGCATGTGTTCGATGATGATCACATCATGGGACAGAGCAATTCAACTATTGCATTTATTTGCCTATTTGAAGCGCTATAAATGAAATGTGTAGGGTTTTAAAGCATCCATTTATATCAATCCATAAACCCTTGATGCTGGAATTGTGATCTAGGTAATGGTAGCGCTCATATTTTGTTATGCCGGCCCAAGGGGGGCTAGCT